TAAGGATTAGATACAAGAAATACAATAGCCCAGTGCCTAGAATGTATTTAAGTGCTCAGTAAATGTTTCTACTATCATCAGTGGTTCTGAACCTTTTTCCACACCAATCTACCTGACATAGCAGACTCCCTCTTACGCTTCCTCCTATTATCAATAACAGTGGCTGACTGGCTGCGGTGGCTCACACCTATAAACCTAGCCCTCTGATAGCCTGAGGCGGGAGGACCACTTGAGGTCAGGAGTTGGAAACCAGCCTGAGCAAGTGCAAGACCCTATCTCTACTAAAAATAATTAGCCAGATGTGGGGGCATGCACCTGAAGTCCCAGCTACTCAGGAGGCTGAGGCAGGAGGATCACTTGAGCCCAGGAGTTTGAGGTTGCTGCGAGCTAGGCTGACACCATGGCACACTAGCCTAGGCAACAGAGTGAGACTCTGTCTCAAAAAAAACCAAAAAACAAAAAAACAGTGGCTGACAAGCCCAATGATTCTCAACCTAGTGAAATAATGCCTCTCCACTCTTCTATCATACTACACTCACCACCACATGTCCAAGTGGCCTCTACCTGTTGCCATGTGTTTCCCAGCAAGACAGCTGAGCTATAAGATCCACTTCTTTACCTCAATGCAAAAATGAAAAACTCCCAGTCTTCTCTCATTCAATCGAAAGTTTCATAACACCCCCTGGGAAAAGGGCATGAAAAATATCACAGTCTCTGCCCTAGAACAGTTCAGTCCAGAACGTGAGATCAACACTAAAACCAGCAAATTACAATACACTGCAGGAGAAGTAATGTGTGGGTTGCCCACGACTGCAAAATATCAACTACCCTTAGTTTCCTAATGTTTTTCATTATCTGAAGTGTCCAGCTCAACAGAATTATGATGATGAATGCCAATTCCAAGTCAGGTCACTGGTTTAGGCCCCCTGGGTAGGAAACAGGTTTTGACATTTAATATTATTAACTCAAATTTGCTAACTGACCTGGATAAAACTGCTCAGTAAGTCAGGATATGGTTCCTTATGATAGGGCTCAGAATAAGACAGAGGCCAGAGTAAGCTTTCAATAACACCTGTTGACTTGCATAGCACAACTAGATCTCAGAGTTCTGCCAAGGACTGACCTAGAGTTTGATCTGCCCACCTAGCAAAGGACAGGCACTCCTGACACTCCTTTCAGCTTTCACTCATCAGCCTACCATTAGGAAACACAAGATTTTATAAATCTATATTACAGATTCTTTTTTTTTTTTTTGAGACAGAGACTCACTTTGTTGCCCAGGCTAGAGTGAGTGCCGTGGCACCAGCCTAGCTCACAATAACCTCAAACTCCTGGGCTCAAGCGATCCTCCTGCCTCAGCCTCCCAAGTAGCTGGGACTACAGGCATGTGCCACCATGCCCGGCTAATTTTTGTATATATTTTTAGTTGGCCAATTAATTTCTTTCCATTTATAGTAGAGATGGGGTCTCACTCTTGCTCAGGCTGGTTTCGAACTCCTGAACTCAAGCAATAGCCCGCCTCGGCCTCCCAGAGTGCTAGGATTACAGGCGTGAGCCATATATTACAGATTTTTAAAACCAATGTTTATGATTTTTAAACAATGTTTAGCCAAATAAGGCAGCAATTACAGGCTTTCTGTTTTTCCCCTGTACAGACACGCTCCTACTGTGATCTCTCTCTACACATACAGCTACCTATAGTATACCATCAGGATCTTCTGCCTTCACCTGAAATCCAACATGTGTACTACCAAATTTAATCACCATGTCCTCAAACCAGAGCCCTCCTATAATCCTTTCCCTCTAATGCTTCATATTCCCAGGATTTAAGATTCCTAATTCAGGCCGGGCGCAGTAGCTCACGCCTGTAATCCTAGCTCTCTGGGAGGCCGAGGCGGGCGGATTGCTCAAGGTCAGGAGTTCAAAACCAACCTGAGCAAGAGCGAGACCCCGTCTCCACTATAAATAGAAAGAAATTAATTAGCCAACTAATATATACAAAAAATTAGCCGGGCATGGTGGCGAATGCCTGTAGTCCCAGCTACTTGGGAGGCTGAGGCAGGAGGATTGCTTGAGCCAGGAGTTTGAGGTTGCTGTGAGCTAGGCTGACGCCACGGCACTCACTCTAGCCTGGGCAACAAAGCGAGACTCTGTCTCAAAAAAAAAAAAAAAAAAAGATTCCTAATTCATGTGACCAACTTATTAGGATCGCAGAAAAAAAAGAAAAAGATAAAAAGAAATAAAATTAAATAAAAAATTTAAAAAATAATAATTTTTAAAAAAGATTCCTAATTCAATTACCAAATGCTATCCATGTCTCAGCCCATACCTTCTTTTCCATTGCTCATCTCAGGTCTGTTAGAGTAGTTGTTCAATTGTCTCAGCCCTAACCCACTCCAATCTCTTACTGCCAACTCAATCAGCCCATACCACCACTAGATAAAAGCCACTCCATACTCACGCCCCCTCAAAACCCTACTGCCTGCTAACTTAAATCTTACCTTGGCATTCAAGGCCCTTATCTTTGTGACCACGTCCTTTTTCCCCAACCTTATTTAAAGGACAAAGGGTTAGGAATTCATGCATTCAGTAAGTTTCTTCTGAAGCTCTATTATATGCTAAATTCTAGTGACTGGAATGTTAAGTTGAATAAAGTTTGATCCCTACCTTCAAGACTTCAAGCAAACAGGAAACAAATACAGTGTCTTAAGTAAAAAGTACCCTAAATGCATAGGAAAAAGCTCCCTATACCTCATACTTCTTCGCATCCCTCACCTACACATGCTTATGAAGCAACCCCAATACTGAAGATCATACCAATAAAACAGAGACCTACAACCAATGTGCTCAACAAATTTCTGCTGAACAAGAGGATAAATTATACCTTTGTTTCTACCATGGTAAAAAACTATGGGCCAGGCCAGGCACAGTGGCTCACACCTGTAATCCTAGCACTCTGGGAGGCCGAGGCAGGCGGATTGCTCAAGGTCAGGAGTTCGAAACCAGCCTGAGCAAGAGCAAGACCCCGTCTCTACCATAAATAGAAAGAAATTAATTGGCCAACTAATATATATAGAAAAAAATTAGCCGGGCATGGTGGTGCATGCCTGTAGTCCCAGATACTTGGGAGGCTGAGGCAGGAGGATTGCTTGAGCCCAGGAGTTTGAGGTTGCTGTGAGCCAGGCTGACGCCACGGCATTCACCTAGCCTGGGCAACAAAGTGAGACTCTGTCTCAAAAAAAAAAAAACTATGGGCCAGGCACGGTGGCTCTGTAATCAGCTATTCGGCAGACTGAGGCAGGAGGACTGCATGAGCCCAAGAGTTCAAGCTGCAGTAAGCTCTGATCATTCCATTACACTCCAACCTGGGAAACAGAGCAAGACACCATCTCTTTAAAAAAAAAAAAAAAAAAAAAAACTATGGTATGCTGCCCTTTTTGGAGGGGTCAGAAGAAGCATAACAGAATTCAGATTTGACAAGTGTGCTTGTGCCTGATTGTTTCTGAAGCAGAACAGAAGCACTAGAGGTCTAGTGAAAGATGTCAGTGCTTTTTGTTAATCAGTACTTGGATTAGCAATATAAAATGAACCTTTCCAAATTCAACCCATACCCAATTTCAAAGAACAGACTGATCAAAACAATCTAATCTTTTGGTTGTTTGCTATCAGGAAGTCAGGAAACACAGATCAGGCCAAACTCTCTTCACAGTAAAATATGCTATGATTCCAGCTATGGTTTCAGATTAATAAGATTAAACATGTTAAAATTTACCAAAACCAAACAAGTTCTTAGAACAAGAGGACAAAGGTGGTTAAAACCTAAAAGCCACATCACTTCTCTCTGACACAATGTATCAGTCCCATTTCAAATAAATTTCACTTGAGCAGCTGATGTTATCAACTTCCCACTACTTTCAACTATAACATCTTAAAATCAAAAGTCACTCACGCCCAACAGAAAAGATTCTAAAATATGTACTTGTCCTATAAACAGCCCAAACAGTTCTTAAAAGCATATATGTAGGCCGGGCGCGGTGGCTCACGCCTGTAATCCTAGCACTCTGGGAGGCCAAGGCAGGTGTTCAAAACCAGCCTGAGCAAGAGCGAGACCTGTCTCTACTATAAACAGAAAGAAATTAATTGGCCAACTAATATATATATAGAAAAAAATCAGCCAGGCATGGTGGCACATGCCTGTAGTCCCAGCTACTTGGGAAGCTGAGGCAGCAGGATTGCTTAAGCCCAGGAGTTTGAGGTTGCTGTGAGCTAGGCTCAGGCCATGGCACTCACTCTAGCCTGGGCAACAAAGTGAGACTCTGTCTCAAAAAAAAAAAAAGCATATATGTAAACGTGAAAAAAGCATTATGTTTTTAAAAGTATTCCTAGAAATGCATTGCACTGAGCGCAGCGGCTCATGCCTACAATCCTAGCACTTTGGTTGGGAGGCCAAGGCCAGAGTATCGCTTGAGGCCAGAAGTACAAGACCAGCCTGAGCAACATAGCAAGACTCTGTCTCTACAAAAACCAAAAAACAGAAAAATTAGCCAGGTGTGGTAGCACACACTTGTAGTCCCAGCTACTAGAGAGTCTGAGGCAGGAGAATTGATTGAGCCTGGGAGTCCAAGGTTGCAGTGAGCTACCAAGACACCACTGCACCTTGGCCTGGACAAAAGACTGAGACCAACTCTCAAAACAAAACAAAACAAAAAAAATCACAGCTAAGGACAGGGACTAAATAAACAAACAGAAATGTATTGCACACATTAAAACCATCTTAAGTCCTTTTTTAAATGAATTGGTCATTTACTATTATATTTAGCACCAGAATGATAAATGACCCAGTGACAGTATTACAACAATTCATCTTTTAAAACAAGTGACTGTTTAGACCAAACTAAATCAGCAATTTAAGTTTTTAAAGACATTCATTCAAAGCAGATATCCTAAGTGGACAGTGATTATAAAAGATTTTCAAAACTGAAATAGTGAACTTTTTTTACCTGATGTTCTGCATGAATGTTATCCCCAGTAGGCCATCGATGTTTGCTATTATTATAGCCGCCTCCACCACTTCCTCCTCCCCCAAGCTGCTCACCATGCTGGCGCTGAAAGAAGTAGTCCACCATAGCGTCGTCCTGGGAACGGCCTGCAACTCCTATGGATCCTGGGACAGGGCTGGAGTGTGTCCCAGCTGCAAGAGCCTGATTTGCAGCTGGCTGTGGCTGCGCTTGCGACCCTGTTCCAGATGTCAAAACAACAGGCATGTTGGGATTAGCTGGTTCTTGAGGGTGATGTTTCAGGTGGGGGCTGAAAGAGTCCTGCCAAAGCACTGTTTTTCTCTTCAAGACACATGCAACGCTCATTCCACCAACACCTAAGGACAAACAGGTGTCAAATGTTTAATATTTGCATCTTTTAAAACATAATTCAACATACACTAAAAATATGAACTCCATGGTCACATTATGGGTCAAAAAGAAAAAAAAAATGAACCCATGTATTTTGCAATACAATCATACACAACCAGTTTCTGCCAAGCAGCTAAATATTTTATACTACACAATTTCCTAAACTGAAACCTCCATTTTTAAGTTGCCTAGTCTATGTGTACAGAAATAAATGTAGTTGGTGGCAGACACTCTGACAGGGTATTGAAATCAGGGCTCAATATTACAACTTCAGGGAAGCTTATGTTATTACATAAGGTAACAAAAGGTAACAATACAGAATTAGACTTTGATCAATGGCTTCGGTTCAACCCAACTTATTTGCACCCTAAGCCAACTGTGGTGGATAGTTTTTAATTGAACAAGAGCTTTTCACAAAAAATCACAATTTTACACCTGAAGCAGACACATGCCAATAACCAAACAAAAACCTAAACCCATATATAATTAACAATGGCTCAGTCTGTCTAACTTACTTAAAAGGACCCTTTAAAAGGTCCAACATTGATAATAACATGAAAAAGTAAGACCCTCTGACCAAGAACAGCAGCAGCATATTCTTAGCCTAAATCTTCATATCAACTGTTATTGATGGAAAAAGAAATTCAAGATTTTTACCAATAACTTTTAACTGTAATCACATCATTATTCCATTAGTGCTTCAACTCCCATAAACAGGATGAGACCAAACCAAATTCAAACACCTTACTCGAAAATACAGAAAGCTTCGCTATAAAAACCAGAGGCCTTGGCCAGGAGAGGTGGCTCACGCCCCGCCCCGTAATCCTAGCACTCTGGGAGGCCGAGGCCAGCGGATTGCTCAAGGTCAGGAGTTCAAAACCAGCCTGAGCCGGAGACCCAGTCTCTACCAAAAATAGAAAGAAATTAATTGATCAACTAAAATATATATATAGAAAAAATTAGCCGGGCATGGTGGCACATGCCTGTAGTCCCAGCTACTCGGGAGGCTGAGGCAGTAGGATCACTTGAGCCCAGGAGTTTGAGGTTGCTGTGAGCTAGGCTGACGCCACGGCACTCACTCTAGCCTGGGCAACAAAGCAAGATGTGTCTCAAAAAAAAAAAAAAAAAAAAAAACACGAGAGGCCTCAACACAGTAATAGCATAGCATATATATTGTAGACACTATCTTATAACAAAAACACTGAACAGTAAGGATTATTATCCCTAGTTTACAGATGAAAAGACTAAGAAAAGCACAGAAAAGTTATGTGATGTATTCAAGGCCACTCAGCTAGTGAGTAGCAGAGAAAGGATTCTAACAATTATGTTTTGTACCCAAACCTAGTTCTTTCTACCAACCCCTTGCTACTCTCCAGTAACTCAACAATATCTGTCACTTGTATCCTCTACTCTTCTCTGAAGACCAAAAAAGAATACCTGAAATGTTACCATGAAACATTACTATTTAAGTTATTTAAAACAAAAACTACCTTTATACATAAGATAGAACACTTGTCAGCTTGTGTGGGTGCTTAAAAAAAAGCTACAAAGTAAATAAATCAGTTACCAATTAGGACACACCTGTCCACAACCACTAGTGTCTTAATTTCAAGGCTATCAACCCAACAGTCCCACGGCTACAAATGCCTTTTCTCTCCTCCCAAGCCCTACTCTGACATTTTAAAAACAGATTTATGGGAAATCTACTATCTCTGTATTGAATAATTAAACCTCTTGATAAAGTAGCAATCGCTTCTCACAACTAAATTCATGCTTTCAAGCCAGAAGTAAAAAGACACAATGGAATTTGTAATTTGTTCAAAGCCTAATTTGAAAACACCTAGTCAACAATTCCAATCCATCACCCACCTTACCAGGGTACTGGAGAAGTCTAGCTTTATGACTTCACTTTCTGCTTTCATGAATAAAATCTTGTCCATGCTCAAGTACCAACACCAGAAAGTCATCGCTGTTTCACGCTTGGTCTCTGCAAAATGCAAACTAATCTAATGCCTTCCTGCTCGGTTTTTAAAAGAACTCACTACCCTCTTTTTACCAATATTGGACAGTCCCATTTTCTTCTAAAAGGAAATCTCAATCTAACAATCTTTGTTCTAGAACAGGCCAGGAGTTCCAAAACCCAAATTCTACCACTGAACAACCCTCTTTGAACCTGTTTCCTTATCTAGAAAATGAACAAACCCTTCCTCTTTGCCTCACAATATTTTTGTTGTGTTTTTTAATCAAAGCAAGATAGATATACAAGTTTTTGATAAAATTAAAGTCACTGTGCTGAAGACCCCAGGAATTTAGTTACCACCAGTTAAGGAAATGAAGCTCCAGTCCCTAAGAGAATTCCTAAAGTAACAAATGCAATCTTTTCTGAAATTTAAAAAAAAAAATGTCAAAATAGTTATCTTACAAGGAATTTCCATATGAAAAAAGTTTACCACTGAAACACACTGAACACAACTTCACTCTAAAAGGGGAGGGGGAGGGGAAGATTCCTATAAAAATGTTCAAACAAAACAATTGGCTTTTGTATAGCTATCTGAATGCCCTAAGACTTCCTGCTTTACCTAATGAGGCAAGGCAGTTTCTCAAACAAGAGAAAACCTGGCAGAAGAGACAATCTGAAAGTGAGCAAATACCTAAGCAATTAACACGTGTCTTGAGTAGTTTTGTAATATTTTGGCAACTACAGCACAAAAATTAAGAACTCAATCACCTAAATATCTGAAAATACTTAAACTGTCGATACCTTTCAGGGAACTCTCAAAGCTAAAAAAAAGTATGTGTAGCCGTTCGAAATGTGATTTTTTTTAAATGACACATTATGAAAATAAGTATTTTAAGCAACTAGAATTAAGTGCTGATTCTAGCTACTCTTCCACAGCTTTCAAACTGTGTACATCAAAGCGGATTTTTTAATATCACCAATAGAGTTTAATTCAAACAAAGGAACACAGTTTAATCTATCTCCCTGGCTCACCTTTTACTAAAATGCTTAGTGGTTTAAAAGGTGTTTATTTTTACCACATTGAATAAACATTCTGTGGTCATAAATTTATTTTAAAGGAGTTCATCTCAAACCAAACTAAACAAATTCCAACTTCAAAAAGCTGCGGCTTTGGACAAAACGAATTCAATTGAGGCTAAGGCAAAGCACTAACTCAAAGTTCAGAACCCCGTGAGTATTTCCAAACAGCCCAGATAAAGAATCAACAGCCCCTGAAAGTGTTTTATAAAGTTAAAATTAGCAATGAGTCAAAATGTTTATTTTGCTTAGGAAAACTACATCGAAATCCACATATTGGCTTGTCCTGGTGAGTTTTTAAGTGTTTTCATAAGATAAACACAATGTTAAACCTATTGTTTCAGAAGTAACTGACTTTAAAGTAGAACCCAAGAAAAGGCTTATAAAATCTCATTCTTAACAATCCCAGTAATAAAAGGAAGTGAGCAAAATGATATCGAGAGCTAAGAACTGTTTTCTGAATTGAACAATGAAGGGTAACAAACCTTCAAGTTATGGCAAGGATAAAACCTTCTCTGGTAATGTTGTGTGCGGGTTTGGGGGTTTGGTTTTTATTTTGGGGGGGGCTATCGTGGGAGGGAAAAGTTACAGGAGCGTATTCCTCACTTGACGTGGGAGTGGTACTGACAAGTAAAACAAATGACCTATGTTTACCAAGCATGTTTGTGAGGACTAAAACTATCCAGCATTGTGTATCTAGAAGGCTTTCCGACCAGTGAAGGCTAAACCCCTCTTTGAGTTAAGAGAGACACCAATACAGGGAAGCTCAAAGAGGAAGAACCCACCAAAAACACAAGCTCTCACGGAAACAAAAGGCCACAACACCCAGGAGCCTCAAAAGCATTCTGAAACTTCCTCATGGCCACTTCTCCACATTTAAGGCTCGCAAAGTTCCTCCACGGTGGGTCTCGCCTGTGGACATAAGGCCACGGCTGCTTCTAAAGCGATTTATTGTTCCTCCTCCTTCGGCGCTACCACGGAAGCTCAAGAAGTCGAAGAAATCCGGGGTGGCACAGAATTACACTTCATGGCCACACACTACACTCGGGGCTTCGCAAACCCATCAAAAAAAGCAAACCGAATAGCAACATCAATCTTCGGGGGCTTCCAACAGGGCCGAGCAAAAATGTAGAGGCACGTCTACGCCCTGGGCCCGGGCCTAAACCCCCGGCATTTTCTTCGCTTCGACCCCGCTCCCCACCCCCTCCCTCCTTTGATAACAATAGGGGCCTTGCTGCTGACTCCAAAACATGTACGAGGAACAGCAAGTGAGAAGCCACAGCCAGGGCCCCGGCGGTTTTTCCAAAGCCCTTCTCACCCCCCCAACCGCTCTTAAACACCAATACGAAGGGACAATCTGCTCGCTAGGGGTCCAGAGCAGCGTTTGGGGCCGACGGGGTGCGGATACTCACGGGCGGAGCGGTAGGATGAAGATGGATTTCAGCCCCCCGATCTTCTCTCTCCGGCGCTCTCGCTCCCCCTTACCTTTCACTCCGACAACATGGCGGCCCACTGGGGACTGGGCTGGCGCGGTGCATCATGGGATAGGCTCTGGCCCCGGCTCCGGCGGTGGCAGCGGCATGTGCGGAGAAGGCTGGCGGCTCGGAAACAGGTTGCCTGGTTGCCATGCCAACCCGGGGCCTGTGTGAACTCGGGAAACTCGCAGGCAACACAACCGCTGCGCGCGCGAGGTCCCGCCCGCTGGGCGAGCGCGCGCCGCCGGGGCAGCAGGCGGGGTCCCGCCAGCCCGCACCCGAGCGTGCACGGTGCGCGCGGCGCCCGGCCCCGCACCGCCGGCGCCGAGCACGCTGGGTCGCCCCGGACACGCTAGGACCCCGCGCCCCCAGCTCTCCGCGCCCTCGCCGGCTCGCCACCTAGTTAACAACCTGCAGTGCCGACAGGCCGCAGCCACCGCGCGGCCCCGGCCTCCAGTGCCGGGTTCAAAGCCCTTCTCTGCTGCCTTCGCGCTCTGTGGCCTTATTTATCTACGCTACCTGCCTCCGTTTCCCCACTTGCAAAATGCGGAGGGAAATGATAACGCCTACTTAGCAGAAATGGCCGGGAGGATTCAGTGGAATAATGTATGCCAAGTGCTTACTACAGTGCCTGGGACTCTAAGCAGTGCAGCACAACTGGCGGGGTCCAGCGCGGAATGACAAATGCGGGGCCCTTGTTCAAAACTACTACCAATTTCAAGATGGCGGCAGCAGAACACTAAACAAAGGACAGGAGGCCCACCCTGCCTGTGAGCGCTGAGTCTTCCTGCCGGCTGCTGTCAATCTGTCCAGTTTCACAAATGAATGGAAACGTGACCATTTGATGAAAGTGACTTTTCAAATCACTAGTATTTGACAAGGTATAGTTATACTATCGCAAACTAAACTCAAGACAGCTTGAAAACTTAGACAAACCACGATACTATAAAACACCAGAAGATGTTAGGGGGCAAAACTCTATAATTGGAGGAGAGAACATGTTTGTAATCATGAATCAAAATCAATAGATCATAAAGACAAAGATTGTAACAAACGTAACCATCTGTACTGGAAGAGGTGCCATCAACAAAGTAGAACAAATAAAAAAATGGCTAAAAATATTTGCTATATACATGGTAGGCAAATGGTTAATCGTCATGATAAATACAGAACTTCTCTTATTGATAAAATCCAAAATAGGCAAAGACACATTAAAAAATCACATATGGCCAACAAACAAAAAATAGGTAGCCTAGGGCTGAGAGCTGGAGGAGCAGGAATGGGGAGGTACTATTAACAGATAAGGGGTTTCTTTTGGGACTGTTGAAAAAGTTTTAAAATTAGATCATGATGATGGTTGCAATACTCTGTGACTATAATAAAAAACCACTGAACTATGCACTTTCTTTATTTATTCTAATAGGTTTGGGTCTCACTATATTGCCCACTCTAGTCTCAACTCCTTGGCTCAAGCTTCTCCCACCTCAGTCTCCGGAGTAACTGGAACTACAGGCACACACACCACTCCAGACTGTACACTTTAAATGAATGGATTTTATGGTATGTGAAATACATATAAAAACTGTAAAAGATGAGGCTGGGTGTGGTGGCTCATATATGTTATCCCAGCACTTTGGGAGGTTGAGCCAGGAGGATAGCTTGAATCCAGGAGTTCCAGACCAGCCTGAGCAATATAGTAAGACCCTGTCTCTACAAAAAATTTAAAAAATTTAGCTGGTCCTGGCCGGGCAGTGGCTCATACCTATAATCCTAGCACTCTGAGAGACCAAAGTGGGAGGATCACTTGAGGTCAGGGGTTCAAGACCAGCCTGAGCAAGAGTAAGACCTCATCTCTACTAAAAATAGAAAAATTAGCTGGGCTTGATGACACATGCCTGTAGTCCCAGCTACTCAGGAAGCTGAGGCAGGAGAATTGCTTGACCCCAGGAGTTTGAGGTTGCTGTGAGCTAGGCTGATGCCATGACACTCTAGCCCAGTAGACAGAACAAGACTCTGTCTCACAAAAAAAAAAAAAAAAACTTTAAAAGATGAGAAAAATAGCTAATAAAAGAAATACAACTTTGAAATACAATATTTTCGTCTATTGAACACACTGGCCAAAATTAAAATGATTGTTAACATCATGGTTCTGCAAGTGTGTGAGAAAATCAGCACTCATATTGCTTAAATTAAGCATGCATTAGCTTTATTTTTTAAAAAAAGAATGTTACTTTGTTTTAAAAAAGAATATTCACGATGCTTTTTAGGAAAAAAAGAAAAAAAAATAAAAAAGAATAAAAGAATGAGATTTTCATTTCTGAATAAGACTTGGAAGTTAAAGATCCTGTACTCTGCTATTTCTTGGCAGTGTGACCTTGGGCAAGTCTCTGAGTCTCAGCTCCCTCATCTGTAAAATAAGGATATCAATTATCTTCTCACAGGCTGGTTATTATGGTTAAATGAACACATGTAAGGTGTCTGACACAAAATTAGTACTCAATAAATGTAGCTGTTTTGTTGTAGCTGTGATGTTATATTCACTTCTGAATCCCCAGAGACCAACTTAGTGCAGGGCATATAGTAATTGCTCATTAAATGTTAAAGGAATGAATTGAACAGCTAGAGCAGGCATCCTCAAACTATGGCCTGCAGGCCACATGCAGGCTGCCTAGCACATTTATCTGGCCCTCCAGGTGTTTTTGCCACCTGCCTGTTCTGCTTAGCAGCCAACT